CACACACACACACACACACACACACACACTCTCTCTCTCTCTCTCTCTCTCTCTCTCTCTCTCTCTCTCTCTCTCTCTCTCTCTCTCTCTCTCTCTCTCTCCCTGACACACACGCACACACATTCTCACATGCAAAATTGCACCCTGCAGACGCCTCCCGGCAGCCCGTGTTCTGGGGCTACTCCCTGGCGGGCGGCTTGCTGTCGCACGGCCAGATGCTACTGGAGAACAAGCGGCTGGCGGTGGTGTTTGACCTGGACGAGACGCTGCTGCAGGCGCTGACGGAGAAGACCCTCAAGGAGCGCATCAGCGCCGCCGGCGACAGGATGTGAGCGGCGCGCAGGGCAGCAGGGGGGCCGTTGACTTTCATATCATTGACTGGATGCATGCTCTGCAGCAATTCTCCCGGAATGGTTTTGAAAAGGTTGTGCGGCCCTCCGCTCCCCCCCTCCTACTTTCGCACAGCGACCAGCTGTCGCGCCAGCGCGCGGACGCCGAAGCCTTTGGGGACGCGGCCGCCGCCGCCGACGCGGCCGCAGCGCTTGTGGTTGCCGGCGAGGAGCGGGCCGTGCTTGAGGCTGACCTGGCGCAGCTGCAGTACTTCATCGCAATGGACACCCTGCCGACGCTGGGGCCGGGGGAGGAGGTGGCCAGCACGTGAGTAAAGGCGTTGATTCGCATGGGGCGATGCAGGCGGGTTTGCGTCGGCAGCTGCAGGGGCCCGCTCCAGCAAGGCGGGCCTGTTTCTTTGGTCAGGCGCGTGCCTTTGCGGAGGTCTTAGAATAGACATGCTTGTGTGCCTGGTCGTGCTGAGGGCAAGGCAGCCTGCACCCCTGCTGCCTCTTGCACAAACACCAGGAAGGGTCCGCCTTGAACATCACAGTCTTCGCGCCGCATCCGTTGCCCTCCCTGTTGCGCCATCCCAATCCGCCAGCCGCGAGCTCGGCTTCGGCTCCGGCCCCGAGTCCGGCTTGCGCCCAGTGCTGCGCGTGCGGGACGCCGCGACACAGCGGCTGGTCAAGGTCTTCACGCGCGTGCGGCCGGACGTGCATGGCACCAGCATCGTCATCCGCATCAGGGACGGCTGGGAGGAGATGCGGGCCAGCCTGCTGCCGGACGCGCTGGCGGCGCGGCCAAACTCGCTCTCGCCCAAGCAGAGGTGCGCGGGCGCGAGGGGGGCGGGGGCAGCCTCGGGAGTTGCGCACAGGGGCAAGGGAGCGGCTTCGAGCCGGCGGCTGCGCAGCGCGGTCGGCCCTTGGGGAGTGCTGAGGGGCGTCCCGCGGCGTTGGACCACGCACCCTGGTCTGCCCGCGGCCAAGGAAGGGGGGCTGCCTTGCGTTGACCCTGTGGGCCAATCCCTGGCAAGCAAACGCGGCGAAGCCCGGGCGCTGCAGCGCGCTGCCCCGTGCTCTGGTGGGCCATGCTGATGTGGCGTGGTGCCACCCGGGCGACCCTTCAGGTATGACGTGTACATCTGCACCACGGCTGAGCGGCAGTATGCACTGGAGGCTTGGCGGCTGCTGGACCCCGGACACCTGGTGAGGTTGAGAGTGAGTGTGTGTCTGTGTGTGTGTGTGTGTGTGTGTGTGTGTGTGTGGGCGCGCGTGCATGCGCGTACGCCTGTGTGCGTCAATGTGCATGCGTGTGCGCACACATGCACGTTGTGCCAACTCTGAGGCCCCACTGCATTTGCAGCTGCGCCCGCTGCTGCGCCCCGCTCCGGCTGGGGCCTTGATCACACTTGCGCTTGCAGGTGCTGCATCCTGGGGCCACCGGGACGCTGCGAGGGCGACAACGTTCTCATGACCCCCCCTTCCAATCCAATGCGCAACCTCCAGATCATCCCCGCCGAGCAGCTGGCCAGGCGCCTGATGTGCGTGCGTGCGGCCAAGAACAGTCCAGTCAAGTCCCTGCAGAATGTCGTGCTGCAGTCCCAAGACCAGCCCCTCGTGCCCGTGGGAGGTGCGCTGCGCGACGCCTAGGCCCTGGCGGCCCGGTGCAACCAAGCCTGCATGATGGCACCGCGGCTTGGTTGCAGGGAGCGGCGCGGCGCGGCAGGGAGCTCAGGTCGGCAAGAGCGCGTCGCCCTCTTGGCAACTCTGCAATCACGGGGAGCTCATTCACTGCGTGAAGTTTTCCTCTGCGCGACCCCGCCCCTCAAGCC